GTTTTATTCCTAGTTTTTCCCCGTAGTAATTTTATGCTGGATCCAAGAAAATTATACCAGTTTAGAGCTATGTTTTTTCTGTCCATTCCTTGCTTACACTGGTGTAAAGGCTGACAACATCACTGCAAATATATCATGCCAATAAGGTTTGTGTATTATCATTAATAGAATGCTTTCCATACCTACCTAACAGGGGAAGCGTTCTCATTCTTCCTGAAAAATCATGGCAATCAACTAGTTACCTCAGGTGCCTGTACACATGAATGAAGCATGCTCCCAGCGGCTGGTGGGGCATGGCAGCGGTAACTGGGGAGCTCCCGCAGATGCTGCCAGCTGTCGGGGGGTGGCGAGCAGCGACTGACCGCAGGCACTGCTGACAGTGTCGGTGGTGCCTTTTCGTAGGGGGTGCACTGTCACACTCAGGGGGTGCACATGCACCTGTGTGTACCCCCTACGTGTCACCAATGCCTGTACATGAATGCACAGAGCCTGGGAAACAAGCAGGAAGAATTGGAATTCCTCGTACAGTCCAGGAACTATGACATGATTGGACTTGGTGGGAGCTCACATGACTGGAGCATAGGTACAAACTATTAAGGAAGGACAGGCATGGGAGAAGAGGAGGAGGAGTTGCACTTTATACAAAAGAGCCATGTGATTGCTCAGAGCTCCAGTATGAAACTGGTGACAGGCCTGTTGAGAGTCTCTGAGTTAGGGTCAGAGGAGACAGCAACAAGGCGATGTTGTGGTGGCGGTCTGCTATAGACCACAAGACCAGGAGGATGTGGTGGATGAGGCTTTCTTCAAACAGGTAGTGGAAGTTTCCTGATCACAAGCCCTGGTTCTCATGGGGGACTTCAATCACCCTGACATCTACTGCGAGGGCAATGCAACAGTGCACAGGCAATCAGTGGCGACGTGCAGGGGGGCATGAGGGTGCACATGCACCCCCTGAGGGCACTGATGCACCCCCTGACTGGCTGCGCTCACCGCTTAGGCAATGGGCAGGGGGGGCAGGCAGAAGCACCAGTTCCCCCTCTGCAAGTGCCGGCCAATTGCTGCGATCACTGCAGCTGCTTCGAGGGCAATGCAACAGTGCACAGGCAATCAGTGGCGACGTGCAGGGGGGCATGAGGGTGCACATGCACCCCCTGAGGGCACTGATGCACCCCCTGACTGGCTGCGCTCACCGCTTAGGCAATGGGCAGGGGGGGCAGGCAGAAGCACCAGTTCCCCCTCTGCAAGTGCCGGCCAATTGCTGCGATCACTGCAGCTGCTTCCAGGAGTGGCTGCGGCCGCGCTTGTGCTCCCGCCTTCCCCCCCTGCCCTGGACTGCCCACAGGGGACACTCCCCCCCAGTCAGCGGGACTGGTCGCAGGGGGAGCATGTGCCTCCCCTGACTAAGGCGACACCAGTCGCCCACGGAGGCAATCCGGGACATTTTTGGAGAGTGCTGGGGACAGTTTCCTGGTACAAGTGCTAGACTGGTCAACTAGGGGCCATGCTCTTTTTGACCTGCTGCTCACAAACAGGAAAGAATTGTAGGGAATGTAGTAGTAGATAGCATCTTGGGAAGCAGCAACCACGAGATGACTGAGTTCAGGATCCTGAGGGAAGGAAGGATGGAGAACAGCAGACTAAGACCCTGGGCTTCAGAAAAGAAGACTCTCACTCACTCAGGGAACTCTTAGGCAGGATCCCCTGGGAAGCCAGTCTGAGGGGGAGAGGGGTCCAGGAGAGCCGGCTGTATTTTAAAGAAACCTTACTGAGAGTGCAGAAACAAACCATCCTGATGTGCAGGAAGACTAGCAACTGTGCTTAGCAGGAAACTCTTCAGTAAACTAAATCACAAAAAGGAAACTTAGAAGAAGTGGAAACTTGGACAAACAACTAGGGAGGAGTACAAAAGCATTGCTTGGGCATGCAGGGATGAAGTCAGGAAGGCCAAAGTGCAATTGGGGTTGCAGCTACCAAAGGAAGTGAAGGGTAACAGGAGGATCAGGGGAAGTGTGGGTCCCTTACTGAATGTGGGAGGCAACCCATGACAGTGATGCAGGATGCAGAAAAGGCTGAAGTACTCAATGCCTTTTTTACCTCAGTCTTCACAGGCAAGGTCAGCTCCCAGAATACTGCATCTGGCAGCCCAGTTTGGGGAGGAGGTAAGCAGCCATTAATGGAAAAAGTACAAGTTAGGGACTATTTAGAAAGACTGGACATATACAAATCCATGAGGCCAGATGCATGGGCGACTGGTGCCTCCTACTACTGGTGGGTCATCAGTGGCGGATCGCCAATGGGGGACAGAGGGCAGAGGGAGAAAATTTTTGGGTAGGGGGCTGAGTATGCACACATGTGCACGTGCACATGAAAGTCTGTGGGGGAAGGGGTGGGGGGAGGAGCCATAGGGGGGGAGCGAGGCTGGGACTGGCACTGGGCAGGGATTGGACTCAGGGCAAGGGTCTGCTGCAGCCGTGCAGCTGCCCTTTCCCCCACACCAGGGGTCATTGTTCAGCACGCATGTGCAAGGCCCACAGCCCTGCACTGACCCTGGCTGCCTCCCCGCACTGACCTCAGTCTGGGCTCAGCCCCACACTGCCCAGGGAGGCCTGGAGGGGGGTCAGCCTCAGCTGCGCCACCAGGCTGGAGGAGATGGAGCCCCCAGGACCCCTGCCCTGCCCCGTCTAAGCCATCCCCGGGAAGAGCCCGGTGGCTCCTGCAGAGTTGCAGTGCCAGAGTGCCATGGCGGGCATATGCCCTCCCCCCAATCTTTGCACGGGGCAAGGGCGAGTTGCAGCTGAGAAGCATGCTGGGCTCTGCCTGCTCTGCGCCTCACTGAAGCCTTGGAAAGCGGCATGGCACCATGTGTCCTGCCCCTGGGCACATGGCGCTGTGCCTCACTGCTTTCAAGGGCAGGAGGCTGGGCCGGGTCATGGGCCAATCCCCACAGCGCAGCAGAGAGCGGGGCAGGGGCGGGAGTGGATGATTCACCTCTGCCCCTACCCCATTTGTTCCTGCACTGTGGGGGTCTTGATCCCCTCCTCCTTGCAAGAAGAAACCTTACCTACCTGCCTGCTTTGCTGGGCCGGCTGTGAGCCCGGCACACCCCTCCTCCCTGTTGCAGCAGCCTGCAGCCAGGTTGCCCGGCAGCAAACCCGAACGTGCCGCTGGCACATCTCTCAGGGGACGCATGGCCATTGCACCTGCATGCACCCCCTATGTGTCGCCAACGGCCAGATGGGATATACCCGAGGATGCTGAGGGAGTTGGCTGATGTGATTGCAGAGCCACTGGCTATCATCTTTGAAAACCCATGGCAATTGGGAGAGGTCCCAGTTGATTGGAAAAGGGCAAACATAGTGGCCATATTTAAGAAAGGGAAAAAGGAGGATCCAGGGAATTACAGGCCAGTCAGCCTCACCTCAGTTCCTGGAAAAATCATTGAGCAAGTCCTAAAGGAATCCATTTCTAAGCACTCGGAGGAGAATAAGGTGATTAGGAACAGTCAGCATAGATTCACCAGGGGCAAGTCATGCCTGACCAACCTGATTGTCTTCTGTGATGAGGTGACTGGCTCTGTGGACATGGGGAGACCAGTGGATGTGGTGTACCTTGAGTTTAGTAAGGCTGTTGATATGGTCTCCCACAACAGTCTCACAGACAAGCTAAGGAAGTACAGACTGGATGAAAGGACTGTAAGGTGGATAGAAAACTGGATGGAGTATTGGGCTCAGAGGGTGTAGTCAATGGCTCGATGTCTAGTTGGCAGTCAGTATCAAGTGGGGTGCCCCAGGGGTCTGTCCTGGGGTCAGTTTTCTTCAATATCTTCATCAATGACCTGGAAGATGGCATAGAGTGCACCCTCAGCAAGTCTGCAGATGACACCAAGTTGGGGGGAGTAGTAGATATGCTGGAGGGTAGGGCTAGGATTCAGAGTGACTGAGACAAATTGAAGAATTGGGCCAAAAGAAATCTCTTGGGGTTCAACAAGGACAAGTGCAAAGTCCTGCACTTAGGACAGAAGAATCCCATACACCAGTACAAGTCGGGGGCTGACTGGCTGGGCAGCAGCTCTGCACAATATGACTTGGGGGTTACAGTAGACACAAAGATGGATATGAATCAGCAGTGTTCCCTTGTTGCCAAGAAGGCGAATGGCATACTGGAGTGTTGCCAGCAGGTCAAGGGAAGTGATTATTCCTTTCTATTCATCACTGGTGTGGCCACATTTGGAGTAGTGTGTTCAGTTTTGGGGCCCCCACTACAGAAAGGATGTGGACAAATTGGAGAGAGTCCAGCGGAGGGCAATGAAAATGGTTCAAGGGCTGGGGCACATGTCTTATGAGGAGAGGTTGAGCGAATGGGGCTTATTTAGTCTAGAGAAGAGAATAAGAGGGGATTTAATAACAGCCTTCAACTACCTGAAGTGGGGTTTGAAAGAGGGTGGAGCTAGACTGTTCTCACTGGCGGCAGATGACAAAACAAGTTGCAACAGTCTCAAGTTGCAGCAAGGGAAGTTTAGGTTAGATATTAGGAAAATTTTTCTCACTAGGAGGGTAGTAAAACACTGGAACAGGTTACCCAGACAGGTTGTGGACTCTACATCCTTGGAGGTTGTTAAGACCCAGCTAAACAAAGCCTTGTTGATGATGATCTAGTTGGAGATGATGATGATCTAGTTGGAGATGGTTCTGTTTTGAGCAGGAGGTTGGACTAGATGATCTCCTGAGGTCCTTTCCAACCCTAACTTTCTATGATTCTATAAAAAGACAGGGGGATGTCCTACCCAGCCCAGCCACTACTAACCTGTAGCACCAACAGCTGAGATTTGCTGGTTAACCTATGATAGCAAGTTACAATGGATGGAGAGGGTCAGATGGGACTTCAGTTGGAGTTGGAGCAGTGCTACACATTTCCCAAGTATCTATTTTCAGACTCTCTCTGAAAGGGCCAGAGCTATACATCCAGCTGGTTTTTCTCTTGACTAGAATTACAGTGGGTACCTGGTGGAGACTCTGTCACATGAGCATCCTTGAAACAAGCCTTCTCCACTGTGGCATTCCAGCTGCTGAAGTTTGCTGCCTCTGGGCTCTGCAGGAGGCTTCTGAAGGCCTGTGCAAGGCTACTCAGCTGCTGTGTGGATTTGGCAGTCAGGAGCATGCTGAACACAAGCCCCATGGCTTGGCACGTTGCACTGGAATCTGAAGGAAATAGAGAACTCTGTCAGCTTTGTTGCAGCCACAACTCTGAAAGGCACCTGGAGCTTGCCAGCACATCCTCTGTTGCCACAGCCAGCTCCCAGAGGTATCATTTTGCCATAGAACTTGTAAGGATGCCAGCATACCATAGGATTCCTTTCTTTTTCATGTCCTTGTGCAAAGGTATTTAGCAGAATTTGCAGATTTGTTAGAATCTGTCAAGGCCATGTTGTGAGCACTTCTACTTTGGCCTCAAACTTGTGACCTCTGGGCTGTCACCTGTGCAGCCTTAGTGCCTGCATGACGCCAGCCCCTGCCCTGGGCTGCACTCATAGGGGATTTGTACAAAGAAGCTCTATATGATCAAGCCTATTCAGAAGATCTAGAGACAGCCTGCAGCCTGTGGGTATCACCCCCTCTTTGTACATAAATCTGTCCCAACAGCAGCTAGATTTGTTCCTGTCAGAAGGATCTAATCATGACTAACTGAATGGGACTCCTCTTTGTCCCCCTGGACAAAGAGGTAGCATGGTCAGCTCTGCTGGCTGAATTCTTCCTGGTCACCTTTTAAACACTAATGCAGAGGTTCTCAAACTCTGACTGATTGGGCACCACCAATTTAAAACAATACAACCTTAAGTACCACCAGCAACTTTTTCAGTTCAACCTTAAGTACCACCAGCAAATTTTTGTCATATAAAGTAATTATAATAAATCTGCTAATGCATACCACTGACAGGTTGTCTGTGTACCACTGGTGGTACCCGTACCACAGATTGGGAACTGCTGCACTAATGAGTTGAACATCCAGATCACACCATAGGTTGGGCAGAGCCATAACAGTTTTGCCAGTGCACCTCAAGAAGAAAGTCTTCAGAATAAACCTCTTCCCTGTTCACTGAAGCGCTGTATTAGAGAACTGCATTAGTCTCTCTATATACAACATTAATTGTTATATTAGTGAATATTTGAGTGCTGGTTGGGTCTAATATGCTTCTTATCTATCTTGCTTAGAAGCCTAATATGCTTATTATCTCTACAGAACAAGATACTGAACTAAGTTTATAGTGAAGCCAGTTTACACTTAAAACCAAACACCTACCCCCCACAACCATCCGAACCAATAAAGCCTGAAACCTGGAACAACAGGTCAGAATGTGGGCACATGGGCAGTCACACAAGGACGTATGGCACAGCACCTGGTTATACTATAACCTCCCGCTAGCCAACACTATTCATTTTCATGAGGACCAAATTCACCCAAGTTGAAATCAGTTGGGTTCCAACTTCAGAGACAGCAATCTACCAGCAAAACAAGGGCTAGAAATTCAGCAGCATGTGAACATTAGCCTACAGGAGTCTCAGGGACCACCTGTCCACATACCCCTCACCTTTGAAATATGCAACAGATGTTCCACAGTTGCATAGTTTGTCAAGGGCTTGGGCCAGAGCCATCTGTATCTCATAGGACCTCAGGACCCACTGCTGACAATCTGGGAAACAAAACAAATGAGGAGTGACCTTAAAAGGTGAAATACCAACCAATAAGAAGCATATGCTCAGGATTACTGCCATTTGGACAGGTGGACCTCTTTGCTGGGCACAGCACAACATGACCAGTAAGAATGCTAGCTTGCAAGGAGTACAGAGGTTGGGAATCAGGGCTGAAGAAGTTCACCCCTGAAATTAGTTAGCCAGGGCAAAATTACTGATAGAGGAAGGAACATGAAAAGCGCCCCCCCCCCCCCCCCCCTTTTTTGGGGGGGGGGGGGGGGTTTTGTGGAAGCAGGATGGGAGGCAGAACTAGAGACTGAACACCATACTCTACTGATGAGTTCCAGTGGCTTCTAAGGGCATCATGATGACTTTGCTTTTTCCGTCTACATATTTTGCAGAAAGAAATTGGATTTGCTTAATGGACTAAAAGCAACATCTGTACATCCCACATCTGTACATCTGTACATCCCACATCTGTACCCTTTAACTATTTTTTTCTGACTTCATGGAAAAAATATTCCCCTCTAGGAGTCAGGAAATCTTAATTTGAATCCCAGCCTTGCTACCTGACTCTGAGTGACGTTCAGTGAGTCATTTGCTTTGTGGAACCTTTGTTACCAGGAATGAAATAGCTGGACACATGCAAGCCAAGTAATCTGGAATACATCACTGAGTTTGAAATTTAGTTCTATGCTGAAAGAACGTAGACAATAACTTCAATTTAGTGGGGCTAACGGAAACCTGATGGGACCTTACCCAAGACTGGGCAGTATGCATTGAGGGCTACAGGCTGTACAGATGGGACAGAGTAGGAAGGAAACGGTGGGGTGGGGTGACTCTCTATGTAAAGGTGCATTATACATCTACCCTAATCAAAATGGGGCCAGAGGATGAGAAAGTTGAGGTATTGTGGGTTAGGATACATGGAGGTCGGGAGGAAAGGGACTTGGTGGTGGAGGTCTGCTACAGACCACCACATCAAGAGGATAAGCTAGACTTGCAATTCTTGAGGCAGCTCTCAAAGGCCATATGGTCTAGGGACATGGTTGTCACAGGGGACCTAAACTACTCTGACATCTGCTGGGAGAAGCAGTCAGCTAAATCCAACTGTTCACATAGGTTCTTAACCTGCGTACAGGACCTTTACTTAATGCAGGAGGTATACGGTCCCATTAGGGAGAATGCCTTACTGGACTTGGTGTTGGCTATGGAGGAGGACCTGGTAGGGAAGCTGTAGATTCATGGTCACCTTGGGGACAGTGACCACCAATCAAATGAATTCACCATATGGTGTAGGGTGGGAAAGATAACTGGTAGGGTGGAAGTGCTTGACTTTAGGAAGGCTAACTTCAGTGTGCTTAGCAGTTTAGTCAATGATACACTGCAGGATAGGAGTAGTGGTGGGATGGGAGTCCAGGAAGGGTGGCCATTTCTAAAGGAAACGATCCTTCAGGCACAAAGGGAGATGATACCATTGTGAGAGAAAGGGGGGAAAGGGGCCAAAAAACTTCCTTGGCTAAACAGAGAAATCCAGGGAAGCCTAAGGGCAAAAAAGGAGGCATATAGGAAGTAGAAGCAGGGGGAAGCTACCAAGGAGGAGTATACCTACTTGGCCCACACTTGCAGGGAGGCAGTCAGAAAGCCCAAATCAGCTATGGAGCTGAGGCTGGCAATACAAATTAAAGACAACAAAAAGTCTTTTTTTTAGGTATGTAGGGAGTAAAAGGAAGGTGCAGGGCAGCACAGGACCCCTACAATTAGTCACAGACAGGGGGGAAAAGGCTGAGTAATTCAATGAGTTTTTTGCCTCTATTCGTGAACAAGGGTCAAGATAAGTCTGCTAATGGGTTCTCAGATGGGCATCAGAGGGACACCTCCTACCAACTGTTGATGCTGATTTGGTGCAGAGTCACTTGGATGGACTGAATGTGTTTAAGTCAGCAGGCCCGGATGAGCTGCATCCGAGAGTACTGAAGGAATTGGCTGGTGTCATAGCAGAACCGCTGGCACGGCTGTTTGAGCACTTGTGGTGCTCAGGTCAGGCCCCAGAGGACTGGAAAAGGGCCAATGTGGTCCCTATTTTCAAGAAGGGGAGGAAGGAGGATCCAAGTAATTATAGCTCAGTCAGTCTCACCTCTGTCCTTCGGAAAAGATTATTAAGAATAATATTTGGAAAAGATTATTAAGAATAATAATTGCCTTCTACGATCAGGTCACAAAAGCATTGGATGCAGGTGTCGCAGTGGATGTAGACTTTCTGGACTTCAGCAAGTCCTTTGACACTATCTCCCACCCCATTCTCATGAAAAAACTAGGTGACTGTGGCATTGATGCCTACACAGTCAGATGGATTGCAAATT